AATCAAAAAAGAAACCTTAAGCTATTTATTTTTCATCCTGACTGGGAACTTATAGTATTTTTACTATATAATATTACTATTTGAGATATAAATACTCATTTACTATATGGGTAATCGAAATAGTATAGATTGGGTATAGCCACTTGCTAGACCACTACTAATTATGACCTCTTGTTATTTTATACCTGCTTACCATAAACTGCATAAATTGATTTTTAATTTTACTTACTTAAACTAATGCATTTTTAAACGGTATACCGATATTTAGTATTCTCTTTATTATGATTCTAATGAAACACGTAATTTACGTACTGGTAAAAGCGATGCGATTTTTAGTTATAAATTATTTAAATATTTAAGAATATTAAGTTAAAATAGAAAATATTCATATGTTTGTTATACATGTAAGATATTACATGAGACTAAATTTTATTTTCAGTAAACTGCTAATAATTTTAAATTAATAATTTTATTAATTTTCATTGTTTACAAGGTAGTTATAACAAGTTATCAGCAAGCCTTTATTTAATGAAAAAAAATAATGGATTTATTATTATTCTTATAATTTCGCTTCTTAAAGTTGGTTAAATTAAAAAAAATAAAAAATAATATAGTATCCCTGTGGATTAACTATTACCCAGAGTACGTCTGGGTAATAGGTATACAATCACAAAAATCATACATTTTTAGGACATGGAGGATCACTCCCTTCCTAGAACAAAAAAAGTTCCTGTGGTACTGTATATACCTATGATAAACTTTCATGGAGTTAGGTATATCGGAATTGGTTCAAACAAAATATATAAATGCACAAAGTTCTTAAACTACTCATTCATATATATTGAGGTGGAGAAAAGGGGAGTACTACTTATTAAATATAATTTAAAGTCTAATTTTTTTCATCGCCAAATACAAAATAAAAGTTATTGGGGCATATACTTCAAGTTTTTTCCTTTAATAATACGGGTTTGCCATAAGTTGGTAGTATATTTCTATAGTAATAATAGCTGTGGATGGCGGAGGTAGACATATTTCATATACAATAGTAGGGCTTGGACTAATCCACTGAACACCGAGAATATTGTCGGTGGGTCACAACAATATTGGATCGTGAGTCCAATTTCTCCGTTTCTAAAATTTATTTTTAAAAATAATAAATTTAATAATAATAAATTTTTCTATTCTTTGGAGGGGGAGAGATGCACCTCCATGCTTCAACTAAAATTTGAAATTGGAGTTAGTAAAAATTGTACTTCTCAGTATGTATTTAAAAGGTTAGTCTATCCAACCCTTGTATATATGTATAAGTAACCCTTGTATAATTTGCTTTACGTAAAATTATAATATGCTATTTTACTACATTGACCGCCTCCCTCGCGTAAATAAAATATAGATTCTTGGTTAAATAGTAATATTTAGTAATTTTTTATGATTAGTCCTTTACATGGCTACAAAAAATATAGTATGAAAATTGCAAAATAAATCTCTACGTTTTGTTATTTATAATACTGAGTTAGTACTGTAGGTTTTTCAATTACATTTCTAAAACCGAACATTTTTCGTTATTGGTTTTAAGACAAATAGAATAAAAGATAACTTTATTAATATCAAATTGTTCACTTTAAAATTTTGATACAAAATTTATTGCGAGTAATTATTTTGATAAAATGTCATGTTATTTTTAGTTAAATATCTCTTACTGATCCAAAAAAAATCTCCCATATATTATTCATTATATAAAACTAAATTCAATTGTATTTATTATACTAATATTTGGTTAACTATTGACCACTACACCCAAAGAAAAACCTCAATCAAAATTGAAAGAGAAATTTTATCAAGGGTTTATGATAATGTTTTATTAATACGAACAAAATAACTATTCTTATAAATAATTATTGTTCAAGACAAGAAAAAAAAATATCATATTGATAAATATATCATTGATTCAATAGTAATGATATATTTATCAAATTGAACAATGAATTTATTATATAGATCGAGGTTTTTCTCTGGGTGTAGAGTTATTCCCTCAAGTAGTTTTAAGGTGATAGCTCCGGAAGGTATGTCTTCAATGAATAGTTTTAAGTGACCTTCGTTTAACCATATTGAAACTATGTTGTCATAATAAAATGATCGTAGGCGTTTTTTTTTTTTTGTTGCTGTTTAAAATTCAATACTATTAATACTATTAACAAATATTAATTGTAAACCTAATTACATCGTTAACATGCAAGTAAACATAATACAATTATTTTAATAATTTATCTTACAAGAAAAATCATGTTATATTTTAATTTTTACATTTGAAGTGATTAAAAACAAATACATAGGTATTCGAAAGCTACACAGAAAAATATCCTCCGGTTGATCAACAAATGCATTATCAAAGCACGTCCAATAAACTTCTTGTTAAACGAATCATATTTTTTGTTAATTTAACTATTATATTTATTGTTTAGAGAAACAATAAATTTATCAAATTAACAAATAATTTGTTAAATCAATGAATAAAAATGATTAACTAATAAAAAATATTATTGGACGTATATTGATAAAAATTTGTTGATTTTACAAATGAGTTTCATTAATGTAATACATTCGAATTCTTTGTTGTTTTAAAGCTTGACAAGTTTAGCTTATAGATGGAAAAAGACTTCGAACATATTTTATGAGAAAGTATTATGAAGAATGGTAATCCAGGTTAAACACTGAGATTTTATATTTGAACAGTGATATATATATAAACATAAAGACAATCGAGTGATCGACATTTGTCCACATCGACTTAGGGGTAAGGCCCGTTTATTCAACTCGCTGTACACAGTAGGATAGCAATATGATCATAAGAATAGGATGCTATCAGTAGGATAACTTACTAGGTTGTAGTATCACATATGCCCAGCTAGTATAGGATTATTTTCATAATATCCTATTCATAAAATCAGACGGTCTAAGGTAAAAAAGAATCAAAAATAAAAATAATTAAGCATAATAAGCCTAATACTTATGTCTACATAAAAATAACAAATATATATATATATATATATATGTATTGTGAACATTTTCCAGTTTACAAAATATACAATTTCAACAAACTACACTTGAACTCTGAATCTAAAGAGTCACATTATACATTATATAAATATAAAAATTGACATTTATCAATAACATTGTCAAAAATTAAAAATTAACTATTAGATATCAAACAAAGTTTAAAAGTAGCAATTTAATTATTCGATGTATACTGTCCGTTGCTATTTTCTTATTAAATAGATAGTTAAGTAGTTATTTTATCAAGCCAACTTTCATTATGTGGATTAGTAGCTATATTAAATAATAACTTGTTACAATGTAATTATTTTTGTTGCATAACCGTAATATTATCAAATAAAATATAATGTGACCATTTAAATATCAAAATTATTTTGATAACCTATTTACTATAAATTATACATAAAATAAATTAAAGTAATGATTTTATAAAAGCTGTTTCACTACACGATCATTATAAAATTAATAAATTATTATTTTTACGAAACAAAATTAGTAGTTCTTATTTAAACAAAAGATGCATGAATTTTGATGTTAAAATTTTTGCATATTTGTATAGATTGTATTATTTGAAATTGAATATAGTTATAGAATATATACAAATTTAATATTAAAACATGTTATTATATTTGAAATAGTTTCTAATAAAATTATTTAAAGCTTAGCTGAGTGACATTTTAGGGGTGACCATAAAATTAAAAAAATTAAGTGGACATTTTTTTTATATGAAGCTTGAATGGTATTGTTTTCATTATAGCACTAATTTTTACTTGTTTTAGATAATTGGTTTCACTGATATCATATGGTTCGCGGCAATTTAGAACACACACACATAGATAGTAATAAGACTTTGAGGTTGTAAAATAGAAACATACGATTTGGTAGACCTCAATGTGACTTTTTAAGTGTTTAACCTCTAATGTCCCAACCTACACTGGACTCCAATACAATGTGATAATCGCTCTGTTATATGCTTAAAACAAGTTGAGGAATTTCAGAATATTTATAAATAATAAGTTTCTTAAACTAGGAAGTTAATTTTTGTTTGTATTTGTCTTAATTACCTAGGTTAGTAATAACAAGATTTAATTAAATAAAGATTTGATATGTAGCTATTAAATTCTACAATATCAACAGTTTTAGAGTATAAAACTTTAGTGCATCGGTGACAAGAATGTTTTTTCAAAGCAAACCTTGAAAAAATTTTCTTAATTTTTTAGTATTTATTAGTAAATACGAGTTTGATTACTGTCACATTTTGTGACCAATATATATTTAGAGATAGATGAAATAGGTTAGTGCCTCGCACGACTTTTAGTAGGTGGAATTTTTTTTTAAACGCTATTCTTTCAATCAGTAATGAGGGAATAACACCAAAAAATTGTTGTTTTTTTAGTATCAATTTCTAAATTAAAAATTAATTTAAAAAAAAATCTTAAATTCTAAATACCAGATGAGTAGCTTTTATTAACTAACAGTAACGGCACAAGCTTTTGCTGAGGTCTGGGTAAAATAAATTACCATTGATACAGAGCCTATAATATAATTTTGAACTCAGGGGAAACTGCTTCTACTACCCCCTTTGCACCATCTCTGATAATTAATTTTTTGATGCATAAAGTCTTCAGACTGTATTCTCCATGAACTTAACATAATTAACTCAAAATTCTACGAATTCGCACAATCATTTAATTTTTTATTTTATAAAAATAGCCGATAATCATGTGATGAATATTTTAGGTTAAAAACAAACTGAACAGATTAAACATTGAAGTTATATATTTTATTTGCTGTTACTTTATACAAATATTTATCTTTGAACACGAAATATAATGAAATGTTTATCTAGTTTATTGAAGAATATGATCGGTTTTAATTATTAATTTTAAAAAATAGGAGGAAGATGTATACCCAAAATATTAGATTAGTATAGAGTTGTTGGCAGTTTCTTAGTTTGGTTATACCGTATATGGCAACAAGATTGGTGATGTGAGAAAACAGCTTAGTATCTTGATAGGTTGCGTTCGATACACATGTTTCATTAAATTAGGCATCCGTTGAACTGACCACCGACTTGTTTATGGTAACTTTATAAAACATGCATTGTGCATACAACAATCATCGACAACATATCTTGTTCCTCTGACCGGTGCGTCGAATGATAAAACCGCCGTTTAAATTGTTTTAACGTTGTACAATATTTAAATGCACCATATTGTTCTATAAGTATATTTTATTAAATTAATTATTTTTTTAGTCGTGTTATAATAGATTTGTTTAACAGATTATACTTACCTGCAAACAACACATTGAGAATATATTGAATTTCTAATTATATACAGCTTCATTATTTATACCACATAAATTCCCACGTCAATAAGTGAGTACATGTCTTTCTTTTAATTTGCTATAGTTATGTCATAAGTTATCTATACATAATTGTGCGATTTTACATGTGTTTTTATCACTATAAGGATTTAATCAATACATAAAAAATGTTTAGTATTTTATCACTGCGATCATAGTCGTGTGTACAGGAACAACAATGTTTGTTTTTGCTTTCTGACTAGTCTAATTTTATTAAATTGGACAGATTACAATTGGTACTTAATAGAGTAAATGCCAATTTATTTAGGATTTAACGGAAAACTATCACATTTTATGATAAAATTTCCACTTCGATTTTAAAAGATGCGTTTCTAAAGGTAAATGCCTTGCAAATCTGTATTATCTCTCAAAAAATATAGCGCGTTTAGATAAGACCATTAGTTGGTAAACATTTTTACTGTCCCAAACCTGATCCTCTACGTCGTCAATGGAATGCAATGTCCAAGAACATACTTGATATTTTAAATTGACAAAAAATATTCTACTTTCAACATTTTATTTCTTTACAATTCGTTTCTTTGAAGTTTTTTATATTATGTCGAATCATATTCGACTAGAGCAAATGGTATTTTCGATCACTGCTTCACTAGCATATTAACGTTCTTCAAATATTTCTTTATACATTTTATCAAATAAATATTTAATACGATTTGTTTTAATAATATAGTGTTCAATATTTAAAAATAATAGGACAATAAAAGATTAAATTTATTAAATTGTTATATTTATATGACTCATAAATTATATTAATTCTATACTTGCATTCAAATTTAATCATATGAGTTATCATACTTTTTTTAAATATGAAACCGTGATTCTACATGAAAATGATCAATAATTACTTGTTAGAAATGTAATTTAATATAATTTATTTAGCGCTGATATAATTTTTTTTAAATCTATTAGAAATTATAAACATCAATACCTAAAATCATCTATTTTAAAACACATATTAGAATTTATATAAAAATTAATTAATTAAAAAAATATTGACATTTGCATACGGCAACGATAGGTACTAATAGGTTAATTAACTGATCAATTTTTAGTGAAAGAACATTCTCTTGGTCATGTTTTTTTTTTTTTTTTGACGTAATTCAAAATTGGGAAAATTATGTAGCTAGTCATAACGAGATTGGCTAAACTAATATTAACATCAACAAAATATATACACAGCAGTGTTCGAAAAATAAACAAGTTTTTGTTTTATTAAAATTTATGCGTTAATGACAAAAAAAATTGAATAGAATATTGTATCTACTAGTGTTTTAAATACGTATTAAACATGTTTTAAACAAGTTTTAAACCTAATAATTAATATTTTATTTTAATTAATTTAAGTTAATTTATGTTAATTGGAAATATTTGATGAAGAACTTAAATACTATTGAAGTATATTATTTAATAAGTAATACTATTTATTGACGTTCTTTTATATTTATTTTCCAAGAGTTGGCTTACCTGTTTAGGATATCAAGTTAATCTATGTTATAATTTGTGCTTGAAAGTTGATGAACTTTGCAATATTATATAAATTTATTTTATGAAGTTTGCAAATAGAATTCGAAATTTTTATTTTGTATCAGTAATTATTTGGCTATTTTTTTCTTTTAGGTCAATTTTTGCACTTAATTTTATTATTTTACAATTTTTCAGTAAAAAATTAAAAAATTATGTTTTTATCAACAATTAACTGAAACCTAAAAACTATGTTAAATTATTCTTAAGTCTTTGAAATGGTTATTTTTTGTTTCATAAGTCATTTAGTTACTTTCAGAAGTAATTTTTCAAGGTTTTTTAGGTTTTTAATTTCCAAACCCTATTTGTTATATATCCTTCCTAACTAAATTTTCATGATTTCTTATCCCAGATATAATTTACTAAGTCACTAGTCTAGATATTTTTAGAAATTTACAATAAAATAAAAAAAATGTGAAAGATATTGTCTAATAGAATAATTCATTTTATTTATCTTAAACGACGAATAAAATGGGAATTCCTATAGGGACTTTTATTTACGATCACATTGATTTTTTTATCATTCTTAATGAATTTTGAGTATTTTTGTAATATTCATAAATGAACTATTAATGTCTATGAAAATAATTTATTCTGTCGTATAAATGTTAGTATAATAAGTAGGAACAATTAGAGAACGTGGATTGCAAATACTTTCGTTCTTTAAAAGGTATTAGCGAATATATTTACATGATAGTTTATTGTATACAACCTAAATCATACAATCAAAGGTCAATAACTAGTTAAAATGTACACAAAATACTGTTATATAACATTTTGAATACAAATCGAATACACCAATAATATGGCTTATGTGTTAATCTTTTTTCTTTTAAAACAATTTGGGATTATTTTGGATGATTCATAATTTTCTTAGATAATTAAAATGTGCTTATTTAACCACGATGGCATACGGCTTATAGAAAATTGTAATTCTATAGCTTATATCCAAAAACAGTTTATGAAAATTTTTTTCACGTGTATAGAGAAGATTTTCTTTTGCATAACAAAACAATACGAATAAATTTTAATTATAGTTTGTTTTTTGTACTTCAAAAATTTTCCTAAGGAGCTATTAATATTTCAAATTTAATTTTGCTCTACTGAAAAACCAATTTCTCACAAATATCTAATTCTATCTATTAAAATTAAAAACTTTTTATGTTATATTTTATTATGATTCAGTATTTTAGTTGGTTTATTACTAAATTTTAGGAGAGGTATATTAAATAAACTATATAAAAAAAATTGCTTAAATTATTATTGGGATATATTTTGGCTGAAATTAATTTGCTCATTGCATTCACCTGACCTGACCAGTTAGTATACAACTTTCGCTCAATTATTCATGTACATAATTGTCGAAAAAAATAGTTTAAAAACACAGAATAGATTATTCCTAAGTAAAATCATATTCGTCTGTTATGACGTTTTTGGAACGAATGGGTATTTTTAAAAAAACGGGTTTTAATTTTCATTTAAAATCATTATAATTTTGGTGATGTGTTAAAAATGATAATTTCAAGCTGTTAACTTAATAAGTATTCTATTTTGTCATCAAATATTGAGTAATCTTATGTTTGATTTTTAAGTAATAGAATAATGTCGATAGTAATTATTTTTTTATCATATAAGTAGAGTCTAAATAATATAACGACAAATTTAACAAGCTGTTATATCGGTTGATTTAACAAAATGAGAACTAAAAATTAATTATTGTTAATTATTATAATTTATTATTGAGGCCACTTTAAAATAACATTAGCTCATTAAACTTAAAAATAATGTTTATGATTTCTGAAAATTCATGAATTACAGTTTTTGATAGTAAGCGTTTCAATTTCTAATAAATTCAAGTATTGTTGGGAATATTTTTAACAGTTAATTTGTTTAAAAAAAATTGAGCATAAATATTTTTTATTTGAAAACTAAAAATTTTAAATCATGTTTATAGAATTTCGGTCATAAATATTTTAATTTGGTACTAACAAAAATTATCAAGTTGTTTGTGAAATTATAATTACATTTACTGATAACTATTGCATATGATTTATTACACTGGATAATTACCTTATTAATACAACATTTATCCATTAAATTAATATTTACTTGTTGAAAATAACTTTAATGTGATTTTTTAACGTTCGTTCCTTATTATTTTACTTTCAAATGGTACAAGGATAAGTCAACTTTGTTTAATCAATTACGTTGATTGATTCAAGTTAATTATAACAGAAATTATTTAATATAAAATTTGATCTATTAAGAAATTGGTTTAAAGTGTTTTAAATTTGAAAATCTGAGCCGCGGTTGTTTTTGTAAATTACAGTCTATCCGATTTAATATAAATTTCTTTTTAAAAATAATAATATTATATGTTTTTGGTTATTATTTGTGTTTTGGTTCATATTTAGTATTAAAAAGTTATATGTACAAATTTATAATATGGAATCTAGTTGGTTACCATAGGCTATATAATGTCGACGGCCTTGGAATAAGATGAATACACCAGTTAAATAATCAAAGAAGTAACGGAAGGAACTATTAACACGTTATTGACTAATTTTGACTAGACCAGTTAGTATATAAAGGGGTCCTCCAATAGTTATTTTTAGTTGATAATAATCTTCTGTATCTAATTTACCATATTATTTCTTGTTTACTTGATAAATATATCAACAGGTATAATTTTTAACTTTTTTAAATGTACTATTATGAAAATCTAACATAGACTAATTTACAATATGTATTAGGGTTTCGTCTTAGGGATGTGGTATATTTAAAAAAATGACTCACTTTTTCCTTTAAACGAAAAAATTATTGTATCTACATATTGTACGCTAATGATATATTAATTCAAATGGTAAAAAGGTATTCTAAAACTACGAATAAGATAGCTAATAATTTGTCACATAAAATCTTATACCTTTAATATATTAAAAAAAAAATATTAGATGTATATATCTGTTTTTGTATCCAAAAACTAAGAAGTCAAAAAAATGGATTTTTAATAATTTTTACAGAAGAGATGTTTTTTTGTCGTTTTCTAGGAAAATTTTTACTCGATTTCATTTAGGAATTTTGTTTTTAATACTTCAAAAATTTCAAAAAGATTTTCATAAGACACCATTGAAAATTTTAATTTGTTTTTGTTTTCCAAAGAAATTGCTAATAGCAAATAACTATTATCATCAGCTTTTTTAATGTAGTCACATATATTATTTTTTATATGATTTATATTTACAGTGGTTACAAAATGTATAGATTAATAAGCAACGGATTCAAAAATAAATATAATGCAATTTCGAATGACCTTCATCTGGTGTATTTTTCTTCATAATAATTATATAATTTAAAAAAATATTATAATTATTTTACTACAAAAATATTTCAATATTTTTTATTCTAAAATTCACATTACAATAAAATAAAGGTCAAGTTTTAAATAAAAATATTAATTTAGTTTTCATGTTAGGAGCAACATGTGAAATTAAGCAAAAATAAATTTTAAAGTTTTCATTAGACAAATGGATATTTTTAATCTTATAATTTGAAAAATGTAAAATAACATGTAAAAATACTTTATTTGACGATGTTCGCTAGAGCTGTTATATTTATTGATCTTTTATGTTTTGGAAAATCCTTTTACAGAATATACTAAGTTTTATTATTTTCTTTTATGATTTTACTAAACAATGGAAACCCAAACAATTTAATAAACTTGGTATGATGACCACAATTTTAAAATGTTAGGCAATGATAACGCAATCAATTAATAGTGTCGCATTCTATGTATGTTCATAGGTATTGTACTATCCTAACTATTGTTGTGATGTGCTTATAGTAGGCATGACTAGTAATAGGAAAGGGCGACTCTCACTAGATTCACAATGTTGAACATTTTACGTAAAAAATAGGAATTTTAATACGTCAATTCTATTTTAAAATGAATAAGCAGTATACAGAGTGTTGAGTAAGGAAACGTGTAGATTGTTATAACCAATGTAAACAATAGAAACCCGTTACCTTACTTACTGAACACTCAGATTCAATTCTAAAAGAAAATAAAAAACAAATGTACATTATGTATCAGTATGTGTGATTTATTGTTTTTTATACTTTAGCAATAAAAATAGACTTGTTATGACTGNCTGAACACTCAGATTCAATTCTAAAAGAAAATAAAAACAAATGTACATTATGTATCAGTATGTGTGATTTATTGTTTTTTATACTTTAGCAATAAAAATAGACTTGTTATGACTGACAATGAGTTCAAGGAGGAAGTAAAACTTATATAAGGATGAAAAAATCCCTTACTGACCAGTCTGTTTAAATGTGCCTTTAAATTGTGTCATACCGTTCATTGAACGTTTTTGGTGACTCTTCTTAGATAAAGCATCTTCAGTTTTAGTGGTATTGTAACGATTTTATATTTTATACGGTGTGTATAAGTGTCCTCAAATAAAGATCACAATCGTTAAAAAAATATTGATATACAAAGAAGCTGATGATAGGCTGGGAAGATGTTCAGTAATGTAAAACTTATGTTTCAACCTCATTTTACTAATTTTACTCGGACCCTCGTACAACGTTTCTCCAATAACAAAACGTATTCTAAAAACCCCTAGACTCTACCAATTACTCATTCTTTTACAATTACTCGCCTTACTCTCCCTTTTACATATCTTTTTTAGAATTAAGATACTATTGTTCGAGCAAGTGTTTGCAATATGTCATTTAAGTAAATATTTTTTTAAAGGGTGCGTTGATTTCATTTGTGTTTTCATTAAAATATTGATGTTTTATTTAATAAAACATGATATTAATTTTGTTAATCTGTTTGTACATTTTTATATTCTTTTTAGTTTTACTGTTATTTAAAAATTAATTTTATTAATATTACTTTACAACATTCTTTTAAAAGTCTAGTATAGATTTTTATGATATACAATATAATGTATTAATGTATAAAACACGTTTTGATTATGTAAGCTTATAATTGTTATTTAAACAAAATCCTAGGTGTTTTAAATTAAAAAGAAGGATTACGACTTCATTTACTGAACTGATTTGTGTTCAGCAAACACGTATTCCAGACTCGCACCGTCCGAAGGATGGTGTGGCCAAAAATATTAGCTGAAAATTAACATTAATCATTTATACATTTAAAAATAAGTGAATTATGTAATACACGAGATACTTAAATTTATAATTGGCCAGAATACTTAACATTATATATTCTATCCAATATACTCAACGGACGCTCAATATTATTTTTTTTGTTACACAATTAGGCGCAATATGTTAAAATTACATTTAAAACAACTAAATTGAAAAATATAATTAGTTTAATAAGTCATAAAGTACAGTATTCGCCTTCTTTCATTAACTAGTAATTTTTTTATAAAATTGTATTGATTAAAATTTAATTTATTATTTATAAATTATTGTAAACACCAAGTTTATCGTAAGAAAAAATTATTCAAAAGGGTGATTAAGGGTAAATTTCCAATGTAAAATGGGAACCTATAGTTATTTTTTTATATTAAATGGAGAATAAAATCTTAATTGGTCGATAATCAGTTTTGTAATATTACTTTTAAAGATATCGAACATTTGATGATTTAGAAAATATCAGGAGCGACACTATTTTTACTATAACACACAGATAAGATCTTATATGTTGCGTATCCCGTTTGCCTATAACTATAAATTATTATTTTAATTATTTGCAATAATATAACCAATTACTTATTGACTAGCCTGTTCTTGTTTTTTTCGTCCCAAGCGTTATCTATTGGAGGAGCTTTTCAGTTACTACGACTTTAACAGGTAGCCAAAATAATATTCGTATGAGTAATTGAATAGCGCCATCTTTCTCACCACGCACTCGTGATGATATTGGTATAAGAAGTGCCGGTATATAATAAAAAATAATTACATTATTATTAATAATGTAAATTAGCAGGGTAACTTGGTCAATATTTGTGGTTATTTCACATATAAATATAATAATTTTTGTCTTATACTTTTCTGTTTTACTATGTCTGAAAAATTTGATGGACATATATGAGATATTCGCAATTATTTTATCATTAAAATTTAAGATTATTTGACAAATATTATAATATTTATATTATTTTGTGAGTTTAAAACATTAAATAATACAAGTTTTATACGTGTAATATGTTAACATTATATTTTGATGAAAAATATATTTTAAATATTGATTAAAACAAAATAGACCTTTTAAAAATCAATTGTTTAAAAAACATGTTTTAATAACTCTGTTAAATATTTAAAAAAAAAAATATTTTGATTACTTGTTAAAATCTATTCTATTGTATGGAATTTTGTATTTCAAAACATAAAATACTTTTCATAAATATTAAACAATTTTTTTTCATTTCGCTATTTATATTTATCATACTTAATCACTTGAAAGCCACTACCATAGTACTATTTATATCATGTCTATGGGAACAACTTAATCACCTGTATAAGATGTAGTATTATAATATTTGTCTTTGATAATGTTATGCCGATTAAGAAATGATAGCGATGGGAAACACGTTTGATACTTAATGATAGTCATGAAATTCTTTGGTTTCATCATCACAAATATATTTCTGTGATTTGTTGATGGAATATATTATATTTTAGTTTAAAATTATAGATATTATATAAACTATAAATATTATTTTGGTGGCCACAATTTACCACCTAGTTACTGGATTTAAATATCAAAATTTTGATAAATAATTTGGTTTGAGTTATATTAGATTAGTAATCATATGTAGTCATAAATTAATTGTTTCAATTAATGTCTATATCGTAGACATTTATTTTCAGGACATTATTATAATTTTTAAATAATTAAATTTTTATTGATAATTTAATGAAAGTATACATTTATTTATTTTAAGAAATAAATTATCTAACGCAAATTTCTTTGATTTTTTTATTTTTCATTTAGTTACCTAGCCTAAAATGTCAGTTATATCTGCCACCAACAACCAAAATTTTCATTTTCATTAGTCACATTCATTATGACATCATTAAATACTATATACACGAAAAACTGTCTAATATAACTCATGTTTACTCTTAAAATAAACACTACTACTATAAATTATTTTTGTTATTATTACTCAAACAACAAAAATCAACTTGATGACCTCAAAAATAATTGTATTCAATTGTATCATAAAAAATATTATAGTAAAGTTTTTTTTTATTAATTGCTCATTATTTTTTTTTAACTTTGAAGTTTAATGACTATGTATAAATACTCAGTTATTATTATTGTTTTATTCTTATTTATTTAGTGCTGAATATGAAAAACAATACAAATGATATGAACTGAACTAGAAATTTACAATTTAAAAAATTATGACCAGATAATTGTAGTTTTGTTTATATATAAGACATGTTTTGTATTAAAATTAAGTTAACTTGGAGAGATTATTTATTTAAGGGTTAATTTTACTTGGGAAGATCAAATTACTGGATATTCTATATATTAACACGATAGCGTTACAAGGTTGAGTGCTATAAAAATCTAGTATCACATTTTCATTTAACTATTGAAAACATAATTATCTCAGCTTATGTTTACGTTGATCTTAAAGTGTTTTTATTTATATTATTACGTAGCAGTTAAAAGTGCTGACAATGATTATTAATACTGCTGTGTCTTTAAACGAATTATGCACTGTTGTTCTTGATACATGAATGTAAATTAAAAAAAATATAACTATATCATGTTACAGATTTAACAGCAAAGAAATGTCGGCTTCATCTTACACGAAACATCTTATTAAACCTCGACGCTGGCCAGTAACTATTGAGCCAATGCTGTTCCTATATTTTTTAACGCACGTTTTATCAAGCATAGTAACCACCAATATGATTTATCGGAAAGGTTGTGATCCGTTTGCTACTTCAGAACCAGACTTGCGTAACTACACATGTTTGCGGGTGGATAGTGCTCAACAGGACGTAGCCATTATCAATTCTTGGAAGTTGGGCATTCAAGAATTTATAGCTCTAGTGTTCATCATATTTGCTGGCCCGTGGAGTGATAACCACGGTTGTAGAAGGCGACCATTAATGTTTATACCCGTGGTCGGCCAAATCGTGGGCGACGCTGCGAATTTGCTTTTCGCCGTGTATTGGCAAGAAATATCGCCGGCTGTTACTGGGATAACATATACATTATTGACGGCCGTCTCTGGTTCAACGTCATGCTTTTTCATTGGAATGTATTCTTATCTATCGGATATCACTGATAACACTAATAGGACTATGCGACTAGGATTCGCTGGAGCTATAGTACCGTTTGCTTCGACTTTAGCTCCAATATTATCTGGTTACTTAAATGTGGCAATTGGATTTAAGAATTTATTCATATTGAATGTCATTCTTAACATCATTGGATTGTTTTTAGGCAGCCTTCTGATTTATGAGTCATCAGAAAATAAAAGACAAATCAAGTCGAATTACAAAAATACGTTCAGTCTAAAAGTCGTAATGAAAAGTGTCGGAACTATTTTTACCGAGAGAAAAAGTAACAAAAAACTTGTTCTCATTTTGATGATCATTACATCACCACTAACAATTGCTCCATTTTTGGGTAAGCTGAGCATTATTTTTATGCTAAACGTCTATACTTTAAAATTATTTACGCACAAAATATTTTATATATGGAATAATTGGGTATCATATCGGAGGCTCATTGAGAATTTTTTTTTGAAATTGTTGAAATATTTTTTTTTATTAAACTAAACCTCCATAATTACGCCTCTATATCAAGTATTTGATGGGTTATTTAATCATTTTAAATAGAATGTATGTTTTATACTACAATTAAGTAAAAAGAATGTATATTATATAATATATTATTAGAATCAGGGCTAGAAACCGAAATATCAAAAAATTCGACTCATATTGAATTTTTTAAAAGAATTTAAGGTTCCTAATTGTAGAAATCAAATGTAATATGAAATCGATTTTAAAACCTTTAACCATACCAAAAAATTGACCTTATAAAGTTTCTTCTTCTTTTTTTTCGCCTTTATCCCAACTACTTGGGGTCGACCACCCTAAACTTCCACTTGACTGACACGATCTCTTACATCATATAAGCAACATCATAAACCCAATCCAACCTTTTAAAGTAAAATTTTTAGTTCAATTAAGGCTTTAAAGATGTTCTCATAACAATTTCAGTTTATGTAATCATTTTTTCAACAAATACTTAAAAAAAATATGATTAAGATGAACTGATTTATTAGATGTAAAAAAAACTGCCAAAAACCGAAATTATTTTGATATTGATATTTGTAAAATACATTAATATAGCATTAGCAATCTTTTAAACATGGTATTCAGGGTAGTATTTACTAAGGCAGAAAATTCAACATGAAAAAACTCTGATGACTGAAAAAAAGGTCATTGGAGTAGTATTTTTTAATAATATACAAATCTCGTTATTCAACATTTCTGTAGCTACTGTGCACGAGTACTAAATAATAATTATTTTAAATGTAAAGTACATATACAACTGTAATAATATCGTACTGGGTGGGAGTATATTAGTGTAAATCATAATTTTAAAGTTTACAGTATCTTAAAATACCAATTAAAATGAAAGTATGTTAAACAACTTTTTGAAATTTTGATAATATATTATTAGAAATGTTAGCTACAAATTTATGAAAACAAAAAAAAATTATCGTTTCCTGTTATTGATGGAAAATATAATCTCATTACAATTTTATAGATTCGACATCATACACTATTGCATTTTAAAGGACGTCATTTTTACCGTAAGAAATCATGTATAATTCAAAAATGACAATGCTTATTACACTAATATACTCATAGTACGATATGTGTCTTGTATGATTGTATGGATATAACCATACTACTTTTTAAATATATAATTTTTGAAGGTAATATTGTAAAATTGCATTAAATTTTTATGTTTTGTTACTACTGCAGGTGAAATGTCGTTAATGTATTTGTTTTTATCAAAAAAATTTAATTTCAATGAAGTTTCCTTTAGTTTGTTCTATTCGTATAAGATGAGCATAATTGTACTTGGTAAGGTTTACATTTTAAGTATTCCATTCTTTCACCGAAACATGTATCATTTTTTTATTATAATAATTTTTTTTCGTGACTAAATAGTGGTAATGAAAAAAAAATCTCTTGACTTGTATAATTTTGTAACTGGACGATTCATGTATTGGTACTTTAATTTTAATTTTTAACCTTATTGATTTTAAATATTTATTTGATATATCGTCAGCTTATGTTAACCNAATTTTTAACCTTATTAATTTTAAATATTTATTTGATATATCGTCAGCTTATGTTAACCTTTGTTATATTTTATAACTTTGTTTAAAATTAAACTGAGAANTAACCTTATTGATTTTAAATATTTATTTGATATATCGTCAGCTTATGTTAACCTTTGTTATATTTTATAACTTTGTTTAAAATTAAACTGAGAAATCCCTACTGATACTGGGGCCAGATGGGATGGGGTTGAAGTGGGTTAGATCGTCTCAGTAAAAATTATTTATGTTAAGATATTTTTTTTTCGTTTGGAAGGGGTAATAATATTTTTTATGAACAAAACCCGTAAAAATGAAACCCTAACTACACCACTGTAATGTATGGGGCACCTTAAAGCGCGGGGGCCGGGCCACGTGCCCCGCCCTTGCGCCAGTACTGTCCAGATCCGGATTTAGGGGAGAGCTGAATGGGCTGCAGCCCAGGGGTCCACACAAATTTGTTATACATTGGTATCACAAACATGATAATAATTGTTATTTAATAAGTAAAAAAATATATTTCCTTATTTATGTATAAGGGGCCCCCACAATGCATTCCGCCCAGGGGCCACCACATACCTAAGTCCGCCCCTGGTACTGTCTATCAGTGTAACTAAAAGATACAACGTTTTAATTCTATAATAAAGTCGAGTGTTTCTTGTTTAGGAACGTTAATTTCTTTGGGACTCTTTAGTCGTCTTCTCCGCATGAATGATGCCATGATTGCTGTAATCGCTACGGTTTTTGAAATAGTAGCGTCCACCGCCTTTTTGTTAGTTAATCAAAACTGGCAGTTAATGTATAGTGAGTTTTCAATATAATTAAAAATGTACAAATAAAATATATTAAAAAAAATAAATGTATTAATTTTGTTTTATTAATTGAAATATAAATATACATTTTTTTAGTACCATTGTTGGAACTGTTCAGAGGTGCATCATTAGCTATTACTGGTTCTATTGCGTCGAAATGTGTGGAATCTCACGAATTAGGTATAATTAACAATTGTCTATTAATTATCACAAATTTATGTTTTCGCAAAAAAATTGTTATAATTTTACTATATTATTGTTTCAGCTTCTGTAAACTCGATCAAATATACTAGCGATAGCTTAATTAAAATCATAATACTGCCATTGTATAATATTGTATATCACAACACATTGGATCAGTGGCCAAGTGCCTTCTTTCTTATAAGCATAGTGATGAATGTTCCTTGTCTGTTCCTGTTTTTGTAAGTATTCTGTAGCTTGAAAAGAAAAATAAGTATGTAGAATATAAATTTTTTTTTAATCCGTTTAAAATAATTTTACTGTATTATTATTATTATTCTTCACTCTCAATTAAAAATTGACAATATGATCAGTTGACACATTTCCTAAATAATCATTTTAATTTAATTAAAAAATAAATAAATAACGAGATTTTTGTAAATCAATGTATTCATATTAACAAGATACTTACATTTTCTAGGTGTATTTCATTATTTATTTATTTATACTTTTCAGGTATACATATTTTTTGACCCGAAAAGTAGCAGATCCAGCTCCTAGAGAAGAAGAAATTCGTAAACTGAATGAATTAGAAGACAAGTAAAAAAGTGAACTGAAAATATGTGATCAAATCAATGAAATTTTGAAAATTTTTATTAAAGGGCTATTTTGCCCTTGTTTCCTAGAAATCTCTAATTATTCTATTCTACTTGATTTTTTGTTAAATTTTTTGTAATTTCAAGCTTCTATATGTTTGATTTTTTACACCAATATAGACATTATGAATTTTATTAACATTTAAGTACTATTATAGTTTTCTTTTTTAAAAATAATGTTATTAAATGCTATTTTACAGTAATTTGTTATTTTCGAAAGTTTTAGTTATACATAATTATATATATTTTTTAGTTAAAATATGTTGTTTATATTATAAGCCAAAAATCAACTTAAAAAGTTGCATGTTATAGAAATTAGTACCCTAAAATTAGTTTATTAAATTTTTTTGTCGTCAAAATTAGAAATTAAAATGTGAAAAATTATTATGTTTTAATTATATTTTTAACTGTTTAAAAACTATTAGTATAAGTAACTAATTATTGATTAATAAATTTCTTATCAATAATTGACAATCAGCTTTTATTATTTATAAGGAATTGTAATTTTTTTTAAATAATATCACTATAAAATTTGCATTACTTTTAGTTCAAAACAATTAATTAGTTAGTAAGTTTAATTACTGTTCATCAATTTGGTGTTAAATACATTTTATTAAAATTTTTATTAAATAAATTTACAATTAACGTTTGAATTTTAAAATGAAAGAAATGAACATCTTTTTGATCGATATTCTATTAATAAATTTTCCATTTATTCTAAATTAAAATGTTCGTAAATAATTTTTAAAATTGGTGTAAAATAGCATTTAAACTATGTAAAATTACTGATTATTACCATTTGCATAATTTTAATCATTAAATTTACATTATCATAATCAAATAATTAACAATTTTTTCTAAAAAAGAAAACTGAAATTAGTATTAAAGACCAAAATATTTTTTTACTGAATATTATATTATAATATTAAAATAAGTCTTACTAGTGATTTTAAGTGGACATTTTTATGTAAGCAAATTTCAAGTAATGTTATGTTTTCCTATTAAATATTTTTAAAATTATTTAAGTTAATTACGTAATGTATATAATCAAAAAACTATTGAATTATTATTGTTTATTTTGGTTTGTATAAAATATTACTAGTTTTTGTATTGTAAAATTTTTGTAATTATTTATTTTGTTTTGTATTTTGAAATACATTATACTGTTGTTTTTATCATTTGATAATTCGCTCTTTTATTATTTGAAGATGTTTATTGAAGTGGTTATATCGGAATTTCTACTTTTGTAGCTTTTTAACTAGATCCTGCTATTCAGAATTTTTTAAAAAATTTACTGATTTTACTATTTTGACGAATTCAACGTTATTAGTATTTCGTTTGTGTCTAGTTCTAGTACATTTAGTTATAATTTGATTTTTTTTTTCTTTGAAATCTTAAAAAAAAAAAAACACTTTATGACCTAGATTGTTTTTAAATTAATATATCCAGTAGTCTTATTGTCATGATGTAGTTATATGATTATAAAAACTTTCTATTCAAAATTCATAAAGATATAAACAATTTTTATTAAAAAATAGTTTAGAATTGAGTTAATATTTTAGACTAAGTGTTATTGAAAAAAACATAATAAAATCTATTAACATTCATTCGCGAGATCATTTAATGTATTTGATGTATTTACGGTATTTACGAGGATTAAATTAATTTTTAAAACACGTTTTTGATTTTGTTCATTTACTCACTACATTTCTATTGTAAATTAGTTTGCTTAAAGTACGATATCGACGTTGTAAATATTATTTAATTGATGATTGACAGGTCAAATATTTCTAATATACTGAATGTAAAATGGTAATATAGAATAATTCAGACCATTGATATTTTATGAATTGTGAGCAATTAAGTCATAATTGTTACCTAAATTGGCGCGGATGGGATATCTTCAATGAGATATATTGTGTATAAAGCCTACTGAAACTTAAAAATAGTTTTTTGAAACGTGTTGCTTTTCAAATAACATTGAGACTTTATATATATGTAGTGGTAGAGTATCGCTTATTTTTTAGTTTCTCTGAACTCCGGTAAGATTAAAAAAATATCTTTATAGTACATAAATGATACCTGCACATTTTGAGTCTAATCAGTTATGGTTAGCACGTACCTATTTGAACTTTTGCTTTTGATTTCGATGAAACGTTTGCGTTAGTTTTGCAGGTGACTCAATTAGCAGCGATCTTATATCATTGAGTACTGATTAACAAACATTTATTTTGTAAATGGGTAGATATTAAATTGATTAAAAATTAATTTTTAACCATTTTAAAATTTTATAATTGTCAAATATTTTTTCTTTTTTATAATTCTCAAAGTACAAAAAATAGTATAAAAATTATATATAATTTTATAGCGTATTAAATATACAGAAATGTTTATACTGAATAACTTCATTATTACATATAAAAATTATGTGTGTGTTTTAAACACACTAAAGTATTGAATAAGCTATAAAATTTACAAATCTCATTGTAAGCGAATTTTGTCGGTATTTTCATTATATCTGTTACTTAGTTAAATTTTTTCCTTGTATTTTTACCTTATTATGAAGGTTAAAAGTTCTAAATCTAATTTATAACTTAAAAAATTTTGAGATTCATTAAAATTTATTTAAATGAACAGTGAAAAACTCTTCTAGTCGTTTCATACTTTTTACAATTTGTAATGGATTAAAATGATTTATGTATATACGAAAATTTAGTATTTATATGAATATATTAAAATTGCTATAAAAGAAGTAAATATTTATTAGAGAAAATCTAATATTTCTATTCAAAAAGTAACAAAATGTTGTTTCAAACTAAAAAAACCCAGAATAGTGAGGTCGTAGCATAGTTGGGTCCAGTATAGATTTAATCTGACAGTAATTAAAGTCACTATTAGGGTGGTCCTTAATGTATAGATGCGGAATTTTTTTTTTCAAAATTTGATCGGGCTACCCCCGGAATTTGTTCAAAACTATAAAAAAATAATTTGTGTCAAATTTCATTAATTTTGGTCAACCCTAAGCCGTGCCTCAAGAGAGTTGAAAATTTAATCATGAGGGTAGTTTTTCAATAATTGTAGTTTATCTCAAAATTTATGATTTTTTTACATAAAAGTTTATAAGAAAAAAATCGTAGATATGAATATTTTACATAAAAAAGTTATTACTAAAAAAGTCATAAGTCAAATAGTTACCTCGCAAAAGTTAAAATTTCAACCAAATATATGTTTAAGAGTAAAATTCTGAAATTTTCACAATTTTAATATATACGATGAAGCGTTTGCGTTATAAAAAAAATGCTTGAGAAAAAGTTGTTTTAAATTAAATATTTTATATTTTTTGTAAAAAAAAACAGTTATGAATTTTTTAATTTATAAGTATAAGTTAAACTTAAACTTAAATAATAAGTTTCGTTCTAAAATATTTGTAAAAAGACAAATCGATCAAAAAAATTTAAAGTTTTACTTGTCACAAAATCTTCTATTTTTTTATTTTTTATAAAGTTTGATACTTCATTGAAGTCCAAATATATGCGTTTATTTTTTATGACATAATATTCTTCCCCATCGAAATTTTCAGTATCAATTCTTTTAATGTTAAATGCCATTTTAGTTTTTGTCTCATGTGGAATATGTTTATCGAAAAATGCTAAAGCAATGTTGTCTGAAGTTAAATACCATAAATGGTTAACAAATTTTTTCAAATTATTTTTAGGTAATTCTTCATCTATGGTTTTGTATTGGAAAATATTTTTTAAAAATTCTAAATCTTGTCGAGGCGAAAAAGCAGCAATTGGTGCATTAAACCAAACTTTGATGTACAAATTAACCAAGAAAATGCATATACTCGAGATTGAATTATAATCTTTTTGTGTCAACTTGAATTCTTCACGAAAAATAAATATTTTAAGAGTATAAAGCGCTTTTGACATCCATCGAGCATGGTGAATCGCTCCTGGAGCTCTAAATAATACACCTCTAGGCGGAACTCCATTTAAAAAAATTACTGTTAGCTCAAGAAATTCTCTATAATCTTCTCTAAAGTGGGATAGTTTTAATTGATTTAAACAAAACTCTAAAATATGATCAATAGAATTTTGCAATTTTTCAAAAATAAATCGATCATCGATACCGGACTTGTAATTTTCAGTATTAATTTTTGGCCAAGACTTTTGAAAACGAAGAAATAAGGAGACATTCGGTCCTGAAGTTATATCAAATTTTGTGTCAAATGTACATTTTAAAATATGATGATGACACGGAAAGTACAAAATGTTTTTTTCTAACCATTGTTCTAACAAAGCACACGTACCTCCAATCCTGCCTAAACGATAATTAATATTACTATTTTTATTTTCAATTAAATTTTGAAGGATACAAAATTATAAATAACAGTTAATATAGTTTTAAGTAAAAGTAACAACACGAAAAACGGTGATTTTTTACACAAAAATAATAATTTTCGTTTAACTTCAACTGAATAAAATAAACAATTGTTTTATTTACCTGTGTTAGTGACTGTAGTATTAAAACACATAGCTTTTACGTGGTTTGTTAAACCCCAATCGACCAACGTTTGATATATAGCCTCAGCCTGTGATTTAGAAGTTCCGTTTAACATCTTTAGTACTGCTAATAGTTGGTCATTTCCATTATTTGAAATAATTATAGGTAGTCTATCAACTAATTGTTTACTACATAAATCATTTAATAATTTGCCGTCCCAATGTAAAACTAAGGAATTGAGATTAGTCACAGAAAATTTGTCGCGAATTTCTGTAGCTAAATTCCAACGTATTTTTTCACGATGTCGTTTATTTGATGACCTATTAACTATGATATCATTGACATTATGCCCTAATGATTCAGCCACTGCAATTATAATATGCACTGCGTCTCGGTCGCTTATTTTGCACCTATTTAATGCTGAAGATAACTTTACAGTCATTATGTCTATTGTACCTTTTTGTTTTATGGAGCTTGATATTGGCAAAACATTAGTTTTATTAGACGGAACCGGTGAAAAATTAATATCTTCTAAATTTGATATTTGATCTTTAGTTTTTTTGACATTGCCATCAAACAAATTACTGAAGTCATCATTGTTTACAACTATAAAACAATATCAATTAATCAATATAATGATGTATAAATCGTCGTAGATAATTTATAGATCGTAATATTTTAATCTAACTCACAATCATCAGGCAAACTTTCTTCTGTGTCGTCGCTTGTAGAACAGAATTCCACAGTTTTAGCTAAAATTTAAATAAAAAATGCATATGACTGAACAATACTATACTATTCATTGTTTATTTATAACTCGAAATACTTACTAGTTAATTTGAATTCATCTTCATTAAGTTTTTTTTTTTTCTAATTCTTTTAATTTTTTAAATTGCTTAAATTTTTTTTTTGTTAAGTTACATCAACGCCAATAAGTGATCCTGGACGACCTTTTTGTTTTTGACTTATTAAAAACTGCTTGTCTATATCAATAGTCCTCATGTCTAATGCATCTGCATTAGCAATATCAAATAGCTCATCAAAACATTGTACAAATTTATTTTCTTTATCTACCTTAGTATTTGTACGCCGACTTGAATTTTTGTGCAAATTACGCCATGTATTGTACAATTCCTTTAATTTTGGTAAACAATTACGAACTTCTTTAGTAGGTATTCGAGCTTTTTGCCAGAATATCAATGTTTCATCGATCACTAAACGCGCACTATCACGAACACTCAAATTAACTTCTCGAATATTAAAAAATAATACCGATAAAACTTGTTTATTTGATGGTAATTTACATCCAACGAGTTGATGTGAACTACTACCAATTAAATAAATACTTTTTCGTAAATTTCTTTTAGTCTCCATTAAATAAAAAAGTAATAATTGAGTTTAAAAAATCATAAAATACACAGACTACAGATTATCTCGATGAAACCTCAATGTTAAACTTAACGTTTATTATTGATGTAAAGATATGAACTAAAATGCTGTAGTTTATGATATCGCATGTAATCAACACAGTTAATAATAATAGGTATTTTTAAGTAGGTAATGTCCAATCTGACCATACTATTTCGATAATATTTATACCTTGTAGAAATCAACAAACAAAAATAATCTATTAGTTTGTCAATATAAACGTATGATACTATAATAAAAAACTCTAGAAATGAAATTTTATTTTGTGATCGAATGAGCCGTTTTATGGAAAAAGTACTAAAGACAAATCTTATTGAAAATTTAATTCAAAAAATATTTTATCATAAGATATATTTTCCTATCGTTAATACTTTAGGATATAATCGCAAAAATCTACGCAAAAATAAATACGCCCATTTTTTTCATTTTGTTACCAAATTTCATTAAGTATTGATTATTACTTAATAATAAAGATCTTTAAATTAAATAATATATCTATATATATATATTTAATTTTTTATTACTTTTTAGATTTCTTTTCTACATTAATTATGATGTAGTATAATATAATAAACAAAATATTATTTGTATAATATAAAAATAAAAACATATTTGTTCTTATTAAATATATTTTAGCAAAATGTTATCTTATCGCTATTTATTTAAATAATTACAAATTTCAAATAAGTACAAAAATATATTAAAAAATTAAATTGAATTACATAATTGAAAAAGAACAATTAAAAATATTTATAGCACAAAAAATCTTTAAATAAAAAAAATATATGCACCGTGTAATCATTGAACATCCAATGACAAAAATATTTATTAGATCTTAAATAAAAAAAAAATTCAAAAAAACAATTTTTATGATTAGAACAACATAAAAAATATAATAGAAAAAATAATGTACAAAATGAGTGATAGAAACGAAACTATTCATTAAATTGAAAATTCTTGAACGAAAGTTCACAAAAATTATTACCAACTTGAAAGTTGTTTATAATACAACACTGTTGATTTTTCAACAATTATAAGTCATCCTTAGAGTATAGTTCAATAAAAATTTGTTTAAATTAAATCTATAGTCTCTGCGGCAAAAAATGTAACAGTTATAAGGTAAATTGCTTGGTCATGATTTATCAAAAATAAATGTTTAGATGAGTTAATCAATTGAATCTAGATCTTTTTGATCGTTTTTTTTTTGAAACTTTCTTTGTGGAGCTATTCGTATTTAACTTTTTATTTTTTGTAGAATTATCAGTTGGTGTATCAAAATTATTTATGCCATCAACATTGTTAGATAGTTCTAAATTATTTACTAATTTTTCTAGTTCGATTGTATTAATTGTTTTATTAAATACATAGGAGTCTATAATTTCTTGCGGAATTCTTTTGAGCAACACAAAAGGATCTATAAATACCAAAATTATAAATTAATTTTCTGATAACAATTTTAAACAAAATAAATCATTTTTATATTAAAAAGTAATTATATTATTATAAAATGACAAAATATTTTTTATAAACACCATTGGAACTTTAAAAAAGAATATATAAAAATAAATATTACTATGATAATTTCATAAGAATTCGTATGTTATTTTCAAAACAAAAATGAAAAATATGTTTAAAGTAACGTGGTTTTGCTATTCGCTTAATAGACTTAGTGTAGAAGGGTTTCCGAGGAACTCCTTTAGGGTTTCTTGTTATAAACACAACTAGGAAACAAGAAGGTGCTAAGCCCCTCAATTGACAAAATTACCCCCAACATTTTTTTAATTTACGTATGTTTTGATATGACTTATAACTTATAATACAACAATAATTTTGTTGAAATTTTATTGTCTTCAAAATTAAAAAATAGCCATTATTCAGCCTTATCTTACAAAAAAATTTGTGGGTCGATGATAATATTAGGACAAGTACATATTAAGTTATTATTTCAACGAAATTATTATTTGATCAAAAATAATAAAATATGTCTAACCTAGTTGGACATCCCGTATAATTGTTTGGGGTAAGATGAAAATCCAATTAGCACCCTCCAAAATGTTAGTTAAATGTTAGATTATTTTATGATTTAAGTGTTATATGAATAATTAAGTGACTTAATTAGACTAAATTTAATTACTTGAAACATTAAAACAAAATACAACTCTAAAATACACTAATACAAAATTTAAAAATATATTATTTATATATTTTTAATAATAGTATAAAATGAATGATTGATTAGCTGTTACTATCAAACTATTATATATATTCTAACAATGGAATTTGATTTTTTTTTATAAGAAAAACAAAGGCGACATTTGGGTGGAGACAACTAGGCTTTTTCCCCAGTCTAAATTTTCAATACATATTGAGGCCGTATAGTGTTTTAAATTGCAATATTAACAAGACACAAAATATCAAGAATGTGATGCAGCTGACATACTTTACCCACTCATTCTATGCACATGTGTATATTATTATAAAAAAAATGACACTTACTCATATGATTGACTTTGTCAGATGATATTTCCGCATTAATTGGATTTGATTTGTTTTCATTAGATATCTCGACGTTTGACACGTCAGGAGTTTTATTCTTACGATTTGAATTAAGAGTATAAGAATTATTTACTTTGTCTTCATATTTATTTGTTAGTCTAAATTTTTTACGTGAATCGTTAACGTCGTCGAGATGAGTTCTCTTCTTTGATTGATAAGTCTTAAAAGTTTCAGGCTTTTGAATCCTCGAATCCTCGTCTTCATCAAATGTTAAAAGATCTTTATAAAATTTTATAATTTTACGTTTATTTGGACGTTTGCCAACATAATGAGGATTTGTACGTATGTTGATGTTGATGACAGGAGTTCTATTCTTTTTTCGATACGTCTTGTGGGTTTCAGAATTGTTAATTCTTACATTTTCTTGTTCACCAGAATTATTTACTATTTCGTCTGCATTAGTTTTTTTACTAGACATATAATAGTCTATAATGTCTTGTGGAATTCTTTCGATCAATACAATCGGATCTATAAGTTCAAAAATTATAAATAATTTTTTGATAAATATTTCATGTAAAATATATAAATTGTAAATTAAAAACAAAATATATTAATATAAAATAAATTAAGCTTACTTACAAGAATTGTTAATTCTTACATTTTCTTGTTCGCCAAAATTATTTACTATTTCGTCTGCATTAGTTTTTTTACTGGACATATAATAGTCTATAATGTCTTGTGGAATTCTTTCGATCAATACAATCGGATCTATTGATTCAAAAATTATAAATATTTTATGTAAAATATATAAATTGTATATTAAAATATATTAATATAAAATAAATTAATCTTACTCATATGTTTGACATCTTCGGATGGTATTTCCATATTAATTGAATTTGATTTGTTTTTAGTAGATATCTTAGCGTTTGACTTATTGCGAGTTTGATTGTTACGTTTCAAAATTAACGCATCAGAATTTTTTACTTGTCTTTTATTGACAGTTGTTTGTTTTTTAGTAATTTTCTTAACATGGCCAACATTAAGTGTCTTTTTTGATTGAAACGTCTTGGAAGTTTCAGGCTTTTGAATCGTTGTATCCTCGTCTTCATAAAATGTTAAAAGATCTTTATAAAATTTTATAATTTTACGTTTACTTGGACGTTTGCCAATATAATGAGGATTTAAACGTATGTTGATGTCGATGACAGGAGTTCTATTCTTTTTTCGATACATCTTGTGGGTTTCAGAATTGTTAATTCTTACATTTTCTTGTTCACCAGAATTATTTACTATTTCGTCTGCATTAGTTTTTTTACTAGACATATAATAGTCTATAATGTCTTGTGGAATTCTTTCGATCAATACAATCGGATCTATTGATTCAAAAATTATAAATATTTTATGTAAAATATATAAATTGTATATTAAAATATATTAATATAAAATAAATTAATCTTACTCATATGTTTGACAGCTTCGGATGGTATTTCCACATTAATTGAATTTGATTTGTTTTTAGTAGATATCTTAGCGTTTGACTTATTGCGAGTTTGATTTTTACGTTTCAAAATTAACGCATCAGAATTTTTTACTTGTCTTTTATTGACAGTTGTTTGTTTTTTAGTAATTTTCTTAACATGGCCAACATTAAGTGTCTTTTTTGATTGAAACGTCTTGGAAGTTTCAGGCTTTTGAATCGTTGTATCCTCGTCTTCATAAAATGTTAAAAGATCTTTATAAAATTTTATAATTTTACGTTTATTTGGACGTTTGCCAATATAATGAGGATTTGAACGTATGTTGACGAGAATGGAATTTGATTTTCTATGTCCAGTTTTTAGATGACTTATAATCTTTTTGGTTTTGTTTTTCATGTTTAACTTTTCGTGCAAAGATATAAATTAAATATCTGACTACAAAAAATCAAATATTAAAGAGGTTTTGGGCAACTTTTGTGAGTTTTTCGGGCTTAAGAAAATTTCCGTGTCACACCTAAATCGCCCGTGACTGTTAAAAAATATTAACTTAAACAATATAAATTTGTAGTCATGGAAACAAGAAGAAAAATTTATATAAAAACAAATAAATTGGAATAGACAATCGCTTTTGCATTATGTAAAACGAAAAATACATTGGCCATTAAAACTTTTAGCCAGAAAAATTAAAATTAAAATTATATTTATTGTTGTAAAAGTTTGTAAAATTTCCATTTTCTTCATATAAATTTTTTTTTATTGTTGCATATTATATATTTATAATTGTATTTGAGATATTGAAATACAAAAATGTGTAAATCGACATAAATAAGTTTCAAAAATTTTAAGGTAGACAAATTAGTTATAAACTCACGTGAAATTAACAAAATATAAAAGAATGACATATTTATTATACGAATATTTTTCTTATAAATAATGATTAATTATCAGTCTTATCAGTCATTCTAATTTGATCAGATATTGATTCTTGTTCTAAACCATTTAATTTCTTGTAAAATAAAAATTATATTAGAATTAAAAATTTTTTTTTAAGATAATATGCACTTTATCAGTCATGGAGTATTTTTTATGTTGGTATGGACTGTTAGTATATTATAATAAAAAAAATGTATTTTCTATAATTCGAGTAAAAAGATTTTTATTTTGGCAATTTAACTTTTCTTAACTCTAAATGG